CAAAAACTAATAAAAGGTAATGAATTATTAATAATTAAAAAATTGGGGATGTCTAATAAATTATTATAGAGAGAGCGCATGTCCGGACCCCCCAAAAAAGCATAAACGGGTCTGAAAACCCCCCAAAACAATTTTGGGGGCTTGGCTCCTCAATGGGGAAGGGTCCTGGACCGTTTTTTTTTTTTTTTTTTTTCCCCTCGAATTTTGGCCGATCCAGACCTTCCAGACCGGACGTCTGGAGTCCGGACTGAATCCAGACCGTCTGGACGGCGGTCCGGACGTCCGGATCGTAGCCATGCACGGACCCTGATGATCAGAATGGTAGAAACCGAAACTCGTGGACTTCTATATGTAGAGGGGCGGATGGTGGACGTCCATCTACTGATAATAGGCTAGAACCTCTGGGTCACAATCATAACAACCAACAACAACCAGAATAACAACAGCACAACCACAACAGCGTGACTACCTTCTTCCCCCGAATACAACATACGGTCATTATCGCTGTATTTGGGGTATCTTTCAGTCGAGCTACAGCTATAATGGCCGTACGTTGTATTCGGAGGAAGAAGGTAGTGAGAGGTTTAGGGGGATGTCTATAGGTAGAAGGGCGGATGGTGGACGTACATCTGCTGATAATAGGCTAGAACCTCTAGGTCACAATCGCAACAACAACTTGGGAAGGGGGGGGGTTGGGGGATAGGAATAAGTCCACGTATGGGGCCTGTAGAAGAATGTCCATGCCTAGCGCTTGAAGTACCCATACGATAGGGCTCGTCCGACTGTGATTCAATCAGGGCTGAGCTGGGTAGTTTCTGCTTAGCCCTGGTGCTTCAACCACTGCCCGATCGGGTCACCCTCGTGGAGATAACAGGAGGGTGCCAATCCTGAGTGGTAGACACTGAGGTAGCACTGTGGGAGTAGGGGTGCGGGAGGGAGTCTCATAAGGAATGTGGCCCTCTGTAGACCATCTGGATAACCTCATGGCTGACTACGGTAGGTGACTGTCATAGTCTTGCTTCCAACCTCTACAACAACCTGGATTTAAAAGAAAAAACAAAAAGAAAAAAAAAATGGAACTCGGTGTGGGTGGTGCACGACAAAACTATCAGCCAAGGTAAAACCGGAGGAGTTGGGTAAGTCTGAGGGAAGATTGCACGCATTGTCAATGACACCTTGAGTTGGAAGAATTGGCACTCTCCAGGTCATCAATCAACAGCCCACTGAAGGCAGAACTCCCGGGCAGAGAGGTCCCAGAGCCCAGCAAGGTCGTGATGGCAAGAAGGGTTGCCACATCCATGGATGAGGAAGTTTTTTATTATGTTTTTGACAAACTCAGGCATGGAAGGAGGGGAAGAAATGATGTCTACTTATGATTCTTGATGTGAATAGCCAAAGCTGATAGGTCCACAGACAGAACCTGAGAGGAATACATGAGAAGGGCAAGCTGACAGTCAATCCTCCTATAACATGCAGCGATCAATGCTGGTCAGGGATCAGTTCAGCCAAATGGAAGGATGTGTGCGTGTGTAGTTGATGGATAGTACTATTTTGACTTGCCGGCGTTTCCCATAATGGATGTGGAGCCAGGGCCATAAGGACCTGTTATTTTGGGGGGGGAACACAAAAAGGAAGAGACCCAGCAAGTCCCTCAGGACATCCGCTAAAATTGGAATGATACAGAGAAGATTAGCATGGCCCCTGCACAAGGATGACAGCATTTACACATATAAATCGACAGATGGTCCAAATTAACAAAAAAAACATACACAAAAAGGAATTGGCGCCACAAGAGATGCTGGACCTGTTTTAAGGCAAATTCATCAGCATTCACGCGTTTTGTCTGTTTTTCAGAAAGCTAAGGAAAACAAAAGGAATAGACTCCTGAATGATCTTCTAAGAAAGGTAGTGCGAGTAAAACAGGAAGTTTGGCTGCTGCTAAGCGCCACAGCCCCTGGGTGTTGATTTGCTCCCCCCATCAGAAGACGACCATCACCTCACCAAACTAATGTCGTGAGAAGGGGCATTCTGAATCTATGTGAAGATGGCCTTCTGAATCTATGGGAACAATTTTCCTGCCTCTGGTGACTGCTTCCTCTGCCATCATGCATGTGAAAGGACATGTGTGGTCATGCTTAAACCACCAGCACATCCAAGCCTCTACTCCGCCTGCGCGCCAATCTTTGGTGAAACGCCGGTGTGGCGCTTTTTCTTTTCTTGTGGCTGGCGGCAAGGCGGCCCCAAGCCTCCGAACTTTTCGGAACGACTCCTTTTCAATTCCCAAGTTTGCCTGGGTGATGTACCGGCGATTGAAGTCGATGCTGAGCTCCACCCAATAGCTTCCTTCCCAATGTTTCAACACCTGAGCACGACTAACACGGGACTACGTGATTATGCGGATGCCTGGTATGTCACACATGACTAAGTAGTGAAACTTGGCAGTGGGTGCTATGGTATACGACTAGGACACTTAAGCACACATGCGCGTGCACACACACACACACACACACACACACACACACGAGACTAACACGGGACTACGTGATTATGCGGATGCCTGGTATG